CATGCAGTAAAAGACAATGACACTGCAAAATCCTCCTTTCAAAAGGAAGTAAAACAGAGAATTTGCACAGCAGTGAGTTCAGCTGGTTCCATCTGTATTGCTAGTCCTTCACCTGTATTGCTGTGGGACTCACTGTCAACAAGTGGTCTTCTCAAGGAAACCTCCTCCTTTGACTAGCTGGTTATTGAGTTCCTTGGGGTATTCTTGGCACCAAAGAGACAGATGTCCTTAAAAAGAGACTGCTTGAATGAGGAAGATGATGATCTCAAAAATCCTATACATAAAAAGAAGCAGCTGTAGACATGCACAGGTTCTGCTCATTCCCCACAAGGAAGAACAGAGTCCTGTGAAGTTAAACATTAAAACTGCAAGATTAAGAAAAAAAAAAAAAAAAAAAAAGATTATACAAGGCAATTAAATATCTCTTTTCAGGAAAATGACTTCAATATTATGCTGACTTGCATACTAAAGAAGCAAGAAAGGAAAACCTGATATAAAAGGCACTGCATAAGGTTTCTTGGCTGAGTCCATTGCCTATTTCAGTAATTGCCTTTGCTCACCTAAAATGAAAGTGGTATTTACAGAATAGCCTCCAAGTTGTGATGTGAGAAGTTATTTTTATTTGCTAGATAAAACCATGGAAAAGAGAGCTGGGGACAACGGCTCTTTTTGGCTGCCCACTTTTTGTGACAGAGCTACAACCCACAGGCAAGAAAAAGATTTATGATACTGCACCTGCATGCATCTGCTTTTGTTGTCATGTCAGTGTAAATCAGAAGCAACTCCGTTTATTGTTAAACCACAGTGCAGATACTCAGGCACTACTCTTTTAGGTGCTTTAGAGAGAAAAATGATTGCAAACTCCTTCAGACACAAACAAGGCTATCCTTTCAAATAAATCAAAAGGAGTCCTATTTTATCTTTGTGTTAAGTGCTCCTACGGTACATACTGTTAACCACAACCATTTAATTACTAGTAAGTTAGCCTTTTAAGTACTCTTTTGTAGGCCTTAAGTTGTTTGTTTTCTTTTTTTTTTTGAAAGAGGTGCTGCTGTGCAGCAGACAAAACCTGAGTTTGCGCCTCTGCTTACAGCTTAGCTAGCAAAATCATGAAGCACAAAATACTGAGCTTCACGACTTCTGATGGGGAAAAAAGCTTTCTCTGCTGGTTTCCCCAGGGGTGATTTATTCTGTAAAACAACACTGTGCAACACTTTATGCCTTCAAAGCAACTCGTGCAAAATTAATTACATTGCACTACATTTGTAGGAAAATACATTTTACTACAAGTTAATTTGAAGAATAAGATAATATACAGTGAGTGCTGTAACAGAAACAGTTATGAGTTGCCTTAACAGCATTTATAAATCAAATTACTGCACATTGATAACCTTAAAACTAACCTACTTCAGGCTTTTGCAATAATGTAGAAGTAAAGCAGTTTTTGAGCAACTGTTTATCTTCCATAAGTTGTGGCTGGAGATGGAAAACGTAGATTATTTATTTAAAATATTTTCTTTCATGAATTTTGCACCTTCTGTTGTTTTTTTGGAAGTAAACAGACGAGCCAAAATCCTTACACATTTGAGACTGTTTTTCAATGAAAATATTTAAAACAAAAATCTTAATCAGTGCTAATTACATGCCCTCTGTTCTTTATAGGCAGTTGGGAGTTCCAGCAATAGAAAGCCTCCAACCGAGCAGCAGGAAGGAAAGGAAGAGCTGGGGCTCAGTCACTCAAACAGACCCACGTGCCCAGGTTGTTTCTCTCAAAACCTCACTGCCTGTTATGCCACTGCTGAGGTCATGTAAGTCCACGTACCTTTGCCCACCTCAGAATTCATTTTTCTACCAAGAGCAAACCTGGGGAAAAATATCTTGCGTTGTTTTTGTTGATCTTTTAAATCATTTAGTTGCCAGAAAAGCTCACCTGCACCAAACTAATTGCATAATATCACATCCATAGCAGAGAAAGTCCCCACAGCAGGTTGACATCATTAAAGTAATGATACTTTCATAACAAGTACACATGTGCAGAAAGAACAGTCAGTGCTGCTGACTTGGGAATTTACTTCAAGTCTGGCAAAGTGAAGTCTTGTTCTTAAAGCCCCAGCTCCTAGATGGCATCACTGTGATCCAACACCTGAGGTTTTCCTCTTCTGCTGCTTTCTTTCAGTATTTTTTCTGGCTTTCCTGACTCTGGAAAAGCCTGCAGTATGAAGTGAATGTATCTTGCAGACTTAAACACCAGGCAAATATGTATTTATTCTGTGCCTTTAAGCCTATCTTACAGACGATCAAGACCTTAGACTAACCACTCAGCTCACTAATATTGAGTGACTAATCCTCCCCCAAAGTGTAAGATGGGTAAGAAAGCCAAGAGAGTGTTATTTTTAATTTTACAGCTAGAGAATTAGTTCAGTTACTTATCCAGAGCCTACCAATGTCAGTTGATTGCTTGAGGTCACAGAGCTAAGCACACCTTTTCTAAATCCCTGATGCTGCTTTGAGCACAAGACATCTTTTCTTACTAAATACCAAAACTATGTAGATATCACTATGCAGAATTTACAGAATTTCTACTAATCTGAACAGGACTCACATACATATGCAAGCGTGTCATAGAAGCTAACTCTGTAGAAGCATTGCCTGGTATTTAACCAGTTCTTTAATCATCTAATCTCTCTGCAGGAGTTTTATTAGGTGGAGAAAGAAAGGGGTTTTCTCTCTGCTGTTATAAGTGGTTCCCTTCAGATTTATTGAATCATTAATGTTGGGAAAGTCTTCTAAGATCATTCAGTCCAACCCCTAACTCATCCCTCTCATGCCCACTAACCATATCCCTCCGTCACACCTCCACAGTTCTTGAACATCTCCAGGGACAGTGACACCACCATCTCCCTGGGCAGCCTGTTCCAAAGCACTACTACTCTTTCTGGGAGAAAATGTTTCCTAGTATCCAACCTGAATTTCCCCTGGTGCAACTTAAAGCCATTAAGCCACAGAAGCATCATGAATCTGAGAATACTACACATATACTTGCTAAATCATAATACTTGAAACTACTAAGAAAATGCAGTAAGAATGTAAATACATACATTTCTAAATATATGGTTCCTGTTCTTTCATATTATAAATCCTGAGAATAATTAATTACATGCAACCTCAAGACATGAAGCTAATAATTATCTTACAAACAGAATCTAGGTGTAAGCATCGTGTTAAGTCTGTATCAATGTTATATTTAATTAAGCAGATTATGCATCATACAGTATAATGGTCTCTTAATTGCTCTGATAACCAGCTGAAATGAGGTTCACCAATACTAACAAGTATTCACTGAAATAAGGAACTCAACTTCTGTGCTTTCAAGGTTGCCTCAGGAAGGATTTATTATAGTGAATTAAGGGACTTAGACACACAGGTGAATCAGTGTTTGAAATGCAAATTCTTTAGGCAGTCTTGGAAATCTCTGTCTTGCAGTGTATTTGTACCAACTCCCTGGTGCTGTGCCTAAGTAAATACATAAGGTCCATGCCCAGAAGAATGGCCACAGCCATGTAAATTGAACGTAACTTTCTGAGCGTATGCTTTCAGCTAATGGTTGCTGTTGCTCTTCAGCAAGCATTTTACCTCTACAAAGAGAGCAATTCACAATCACCACTCGTAACTCTTTTGCCACTGCTATAGAAACTAAGTCTGTGATCTGAAGAAAGTCCAAATAAAAATTAAAACATAAGTCTGTGTATTGTCTCAGAAGACTGCAGTTCTTCTGTGCATCATGGAAGGATTCCAGAAATGTCACTCTTGTTTCTGTTAATATATTTCTTTTAATAAGCCTGTAGGAAAGCTTAAGATAAGACATATGCTCAGTCTTTTGTTGGATTGAAGCCTTATTCAGTACAGTGTGCAGATAGCTCTTTTTAATAACTGCTTAATATTGCTCAGTAAATTAAATAATACAAACCTACCACTAGAAATTCTATCAATAGTCATCACATCTGTATGATCATTTTGTACATGTTTCCCCTTTGGCGAGATTCAGAAAGTCTCAAAAAACACTTGGCCTTTTAAGAATGAGCAAAGGAGAGATTTAAGGAGGCACACATTGCAAAAACACCCCTTAAATGATCAGGAACACTAGAAATGTGGTAGTATTCCAGCCTGCATGTTTCAAAGCCCTTCAACTGAACATTAGAAGCAAACTTATCCACCAGTTCCAGCTGTTGCCAGTGAGGATATGGGATTTATTTTTTTCTTTTAGCAAAACAGTGAGTCTCAAAACTCTACTGTGTTACTGAGGTTCCTACAATCTGAATAGCTTAGAATTCCCAATTTCACAGCACGAGAGGCCAGCTCATATGTTAAGCACAATGAATCATGAAAACTGTGGTGTAAATATGAGATGTTCTCAGTCGCTGCTTACTGCAATGTAAGGTTACTTCCAACCCAGTTCTCTCATTCTACTTACACAACGTGACTGTTGTTTATATCTTTTGACTCGCATCATTAATAAAACACATCTCTGCCTCTCTTAGATAAGTACTTTTGTTTGCAAACAAAAAAATTAAAAAGCGCCAGGCTCCTGTCCAGTTCACTGTATAGGGTACAGCTGAGTATGTTTAGATACCAACAAGAATCAGGGCACTGCAGAGATGCTTAGCTTTGAAAATGTATTAAAGCTGAATATCTATTCTGAAGCAGAGGTATCATGCTCTGAAATCATCACCATAACCTAAATATCTAAAGACAAGAAAAGGACCTATTTTGAGTCCAAAGTGCAGTCAGGAGGTCTAAAAGAAATCTGTGTTGGTTCATTTGTAAAGATCTTGGAAGAAAGCAGGTGATGATTGTGAATGAGCAGAAGCTGTGAGTATCTCTCCGAGAGACGAATAAAAGTTATTGTATTACAGAAGATCACAGCAGAGTCTAAACAGAAACCTGGCAGTGCCACCATGTGTACTACGCAGATCCCCAACATACTGGAATAATACACTCACCTTGTCCACAATGCAGATCTGCTTCTTGCTTTGCACATCAAGGATCTCCACTTCAAAGTAAGTGATTTTTGAATGTTTGAGCACTGGTGGTGGTTTGAGGTGGCCAGCAGAAAGCACCAGCTGAGAGAAGGTGAAAAAAGAGCGCGTGTTTTGTGACATGGACAGAGCTCCTCCATGAGCTGAAAGATCCTTCTTGGGTTCCGAGGCACTGGTCTTCCTTCTCCTGAGCATTGTATGACCCAGCAACAGCTACCGTCATGTCAATGGGAGACACTTTCAGGGGGAAACCTTCCTTCCCCGCATCAGTTAAATACAATCACGGACTGATGAGACATGAAAGGTCAAGTGGTGTTCCATTTTAAGAGTACTGTCATATTTAGCAGGAGTGAAAACAATGGCTCCATAATCCGAGTCTATATTTAACCAGCTATTGTGATGTGCCGTATGTCTGGCTTTTTTTCTCCCTTTTAATTTAAACCAGCGTTGGAAACAACACACTGTACTTTTTCCCTAACACGTTAAGTCAGATCCCAAAATTCCAAAGCCCCGGAGAAATCAGAAATGAATGCACTGAATTCCATTGTTATCTACTGAGACAAATGTTTTAAAGTGCCTACAGATGTGCATATGTATAGATACGTGCATGTCTGTGTATATATAGTGTTTGTGTGCATGTGCCCTTAACATTTAGCTATAAAATGATATCAGAAATCATTTATTCTAAAAATATTGACTGTTGCTCTTGGAGGCCTGAAGCACTTGAAATAACAAAACACTAGGAGTTAATCAGCAAAATGTAGGGGTTGCCTGCAAATGCCAAGGATTACAGTGTTAGAAGGGCACCATAGATTTCTGCAGACAGACGTAGAGTAAGTTCTGAGTATATTTGTACATGGCAAAACCTCAGGGAAATTACAGTTGCTGTTATAAAAATCATGACATTCAGGAATTTTAATTAAGTAAAAAACCCCTTCAATAAGATAAAAGGGACAACACAGCTGTACCCACCCCCCCTGCCCACCCCAGGAGGTGACAGTGGAGATAGAACAGGTCTCTTATCTTTGATTCCACTGTTGCAGAAAATTTAGTGCTTGCCACATCTAGCTCCTCATGTCAAGGAGCTCTGTGAAACAACTGAAAAACTAATTGGTAAGTTTTTGCAGGAATTAAAAATGAGAGTGACAGGATCCTCCCCAGGGAAGGCTATCTTCAAACTGAGTCTCCTCTCCTGGCAATATTGTCACATATGCTCATTTTCTCACATACGAGTGTAGGTGTTACTGGTGCAGTAATCGAATTGTAAGTGTGCTTAAGTTCTGGAGGATCAAGACCGCATACGTGAAACTTCTGTGCTTCTTATAGACAAACAGAAAGGAAATATGAGGATGAAACAGCGAATTAGTGAGGACGGAACTCTTGAGCAGGTTTGAGTGTAATGATAACAAGGACTGGGCATTTGCAGTAACAAAATACTTGTAACAGGAAACAGCAGTCTAATTTATTTCATAAACCAGGCATATGGGCTGCACAGATACCAAATGATGGTGGTGAAGCCATGATGTATATTATGTGAACATACTGGTCCATATCTCCTTTAATAAGGGGATCTTACTGCTTTTTTCTGACACAGTTGAGTGCTTGTTCACAGGAACTCCTTCCCCAGCAAAATGAATGGCAAAATCCCCAGAATAAGGAGCTGAATAGAGTATGCATGACCTTAGGAATACACTTTGCTTTAGGACATATGCACCTATAGAGTCACAGAATGGCTTGAGTTGGAAAGAACCTTTAAAGCCCACCCACTTCAAACCCATGCTGTGGGCTGGCTGCCAGCCACTCACTAGCTCAGGCTGCCCAGGGCCCCATCCAACCTGGTCTTGGGCACCTCCAGGGACAGGGCACCCACAGCCTCTCTGGGACGCCAAAAGAAAAAAATCATTAGACTTAAACCATATTACATCATGATCAAAGAAGTACACTTGTAGCTGAGTCTAAATGAAAAGTTTGAAAGGAACCACCACCTTGGTGGAGACAATATAGAATGCAGTACAAATTTGAAGAAACTGTGATACAAAATGATCAGAACAGGGAGAGTGACAAATCATAGGCCTTAATTTTATTAAGGGCCTTAATAAAAACAGACGAGTAAAGGCCATGCCACACATAGGTCCTCAATACCAAGCATACGATACACTCATTTGGACAAATTACTATAAGGAAACTGTATAAATTGCTAAAACGAGTGATTAGACAAACTGATTAATACCTCCTCTTAACCTTAAAATCTATGAATCAGCAGTAAGAGTACACATTAGTATATTTCTTAATTTATTTCAACTCAAAAGCAATGGAGGAATTCAGTGCCATCCTTTGCTCCACACACACTTCTTTGTCAGACGCCATTCTGTCAGACTGCCCCTCTGCTGCCATCTGTCACACAGCAACAGCATGCAATGGAATATTAGTGGGAAGGTTTGACCTCTGCTGCTGTACCTCCAGCATCCACCTCTGACATTGTGAGCCAACATTATAAAATAGGAGGCATTGCTTTCAGAGCACCCCTCCTGTTTCTTTTAATTATTATTATTATTTACCAAAGCTAATGATACACAATTTTAATATTTTGATAAAAATAATCTTTACAGAGCCAGTAGCTGATAATAACTACGATGCAGTAGGGTTTCCCTGAAGCTGACGGGCTCCTTCCTCCCAGTACTAAATGATGGGTCTAAGATTAGACTGTAGCACCATTTCTCTACACAGTGAGTGGGGATAGACTGAAGATAAATGTAACACTTGCATATAAAGAGGGTGAAAGCTACTCTACCGAAAATAAGCAGGGACAGAGTTATCACTGATAACTTTAGCTCTAAATGAGAGGTGCATAAAAGCAGTGGAGATTTTGCCATTAATGTGCCAACTGCTGCAGCAGATGTTATTAATGGGTTTGGTTCTCCTGGATCTCTGTAAGGTAATTCAGCCTCTTCTATGTAAAACTGCACAAAAACAAAACAAAACAAAACAAAAAACACTGATTACTGGACAAAAGGCATACTTTCAGTGTAGTATATGTTTCAGTCCCCTTGTTTCAGTCCCCACTGTAGGAGATGGGGAGCCCCGGTGCACAGGTGCCAACCCTATGGTGAGATTTATTGACCTGCTTTACAGGCGTATGAGCTGTTGGCGCAGCAGCTTCTGAGAGCTGTGGCAAGGCAAGTAGCCAGCAGTCCCTGACCTCAGCTTCACTCTGGGACTCTGAGAGGAATCAAAGAGCACTCAGCAAGAATTAAATCATCTCTGACAGCTTCAACTTGCACATAGTTTCCTGCCATATAAGGGGCCGACATTTTCGAGGGGCCATGTAGATGGGCACAACTCTTAAACCATGGCTCTACCTTCTCTCCTCACTTGGCACTTGCCTGACATGAGCTGCTTTGCAGATAGGCATGCACTTTGTTAAGCCATCCTTTTGAAAGGCTTTTTTTTTTCCCCAGATGCCACACAGCCATCATTTCTGGTTTACTGAACTGCTGGCATTTTTGCAACAAAAGCAACAGCTGTTGTTGACTTTTTTTGCAGTACTTTGAACGCAATACTTTAAAGTATCAGATTGTGCAGGCCATGATAAAATAGGTGACAAAGTATTGGACAGGGACTAGGACTTGGTATTAAGTTCATGGTTAAGACACTAATTTACTGAGTGGTGTTAGAAATTGCTTTTTATCCTGCTTTTCCCTTCCCATTCCACATTCCTTCTCTGTGTGATTGCTGACCTTCTAGCACAAAAATTTTATGAGATCACAACTGGATCCCAAAGGAGCTTTCGAAATACCTTTTCACCTTTGGTTATTTTGTACTCCTCCTTTCTCAGAGAACTGGTCACCTCCTTTCAGTCTGCCAAATGTCACCCATTAAATCAGCAGCACACGGTAATCTCTGTCACCCCAGATACTTGTCAGCAGCCCCTCACACAATGCTTTTTTATCACATACAGACTAGGCAGTTGGTGGAAGCAGGGTATCCCTTCCCACTGGCTTCATGTTGCCAGAGAACTGAGCAATGCTCCCAAGAGAGAGACCTCAAAACCTCAAGTACTTGGTACAACAGAAGGAAGGGATGCTATTCAGAGGGACCTGGACAGACTTGAAAAGTGAGTCCATGAGAACTCAATGAGGTTCAAAAAAGGCAGATGAGACATGTTGCACTCGCTGTGTATGCAGACTGGGAAAAGAAAGCAGCACTGGGTGGCAGCATGGTGAGGGAGGTGATTGTCTCCCTTTACTTTGTCTTTGTGACACCTCATCTGGAAGACTACATCCAGGCCTGCTGCCCCAGTACAGGAGGGATGTGGAGCTGTTGGAGCAAGTCCAGATAATGTCCATGAGGAAAGGTTGAGGGAGCTGAGCTTGTTCAACCTAGAGAAGACTCTGGGGAGACCTCAATGCAGCCTAACAGACCTTAAAGGGAACTCATAAACAGAAGGGAAAGCAACTTTTTACAGTCTGATAGAGACAGTACAAGGCGGGGGTGGCGGCTTTAAAGCAGAAGGAGAGATTTAGGTTAGATGTTAGGAAGAAATTCTTTACTCAGAGGGTAGTGAGGCAATGGCATAGGCTGCCCAGTGAGGGTGTGGATGCCCTGTCCATGCAGGTGCTCAAGACCAGGTTGGATGGGACCCTGGGCAGCCTGATCTGATGGGGGGCAACCAGCCCACAGCAGGGAGTGGAAACTGGGTGGGCTTTAATCCAACCCAAGCCATTCTGTGACTGTATAGGTGCATGTGTCCTAAAACAAAGTGTATTCCTAAGGTGGAATACTCTATGCATACTCTATTCAGCTCCTTATTCTGGAGATTTTGCCATTCATTTTGCTGGGGAAGGAGTTCCTGTGAACAAGCACTCAACTGTGTCAGAAAAAAGCAGCAAGATCCCCTTGTTAAAGGAGATATGGACCAGTATGTTCACATAATATGCATCATGGCTTCACCACCATCATTTGGTATCTGTGCAGCTCATATGCCTGGTACTGTGCTTGATACAATTAGCACTTCTTCACATCTCCCCATTTCCATCTTGAATTTCACGTGTTCAGAGCCAGGTATGAGTGTAGCTGTGCATTCAGTCTGTTTTTACTGTAATGTCCAATGAGAGGTTTAAGAGCCTGCTATCATGCACTCATTTGCAAAAATAGTAACAATAATTTGTTTGACAGGTTGCTGGTTTCATCTGGAT